TAATGAAAAAAATACTCAACTCCTTGATTATTCACACAAAGATAAAACATGTTGATGAAAATAACTTATTAAATTTATGGATTATGTAGTTTTGGTTAAGTATGTCATCATTAAAATCCACAGCAATTTCCTTTTCTATTCAATTGAAATTTTGTTTATCGTGTAGGCAGCACAGAAGAGTACTGGAAGAGGCAGGATGCTGCACAAGCCATTGCCTTAGTTGGGTATCATTTTGCTGCACAAACTCTTTTGCAATATTTATTTATGTGTCATCTGTTTCTGTTGCAAGCAAACCCTCAAACCTTTGTCTTATGCTTATTCATTGCATTGGCTTTTGCCAGACCAGTTTAACACTTAAGTACTGCATTCATTACAATGTTGGGCTTTTACTTGCAAAAAAGGAATCAGAGGAATACTTTTAGTTCTATTTTGAAATACCATAGTTGTTATATACCTTCTGTGAATCCCTCATGATGGTACCTTACATTAACCACTTTCTTCAACTTTCGTTTTGCATTGTTTCTGTTGTCGTTGGCCTTTGGGAACTCGATGGAGGAGGTGGGTTAAAGATGGTGAATATTCTTTAGGAATTACACGTTTCCTGTTGCATTTGGAAATCTGATATATTTTTAAAGCCTGCATATATGCAACTTTAATATTGATAGCTCCAGTGGTATCTTAGCATTCTGATATTTCCGATGCTTAACCGGTGGCATGACTAAACTAATGCTGGAATTATCCCATCTTTGTTGGATCTTTGTAATTTTCCCTAATTGTGGTGTTTGCAGTTAGTTTGGGAAGGACTAGGGCTCGGGGGAGGAGATGCAGTGGGGGATTGGAGCAGGTACGATTCAACTAGTAGTATCTTGGTCATACTGTTGCTATTTCTACTTCTACATTACTAGCTTTTTACAGAATCAGACCTCATCATTTGTGGGACTAGAAGTTCATCCGTTTCCTTAATAATAACTTGTGGTAGCTTTGATCTACATTTCTTGTTTACGAATGCAATATCAATATATCATAGCTAGAATATATTTAAGCTAAAAAAGAAGATTCCCCTGAAAAAAATATCAGTTACTTCAACTGGAAAAGAAACAAGAACGAAGAAATATGATCCTCAGAAAAGAAATATAAATTGTTTTCGCTTGATTATATATTAATTTCTGATCTTTCTCCACCATTAATATCTACTTTCAATAAAATGCAGAAATTGTTTTCAGCAAAAGATTCTCCTAGGAATTGGTGGGGGACATTATGTACCACGGCATATGGATATAGTTCGGTAAGTTCCTCAGTCACCTGAAACTGTAATTCAAGATAATGAGCAAATAAACAGATATTTTGGTTCTTAACTCTAATCATGGCATCAAGTAATCAGTTCAGACGTATGGCCTTTGATTACTACCATCAAAATCTTTATTTTCATAAATGTTATTAAAGTTGGATGATTCTACGAGGAACATTACTGGTTACGAATATGACAGTTCAAGTAAATGTTAGAGAAAGTTGTTGTGTTGTTGAAATTACTTTATTGTGTTCCTTGGCCTCCCTAATCGGTAAACATTTTTAAAAAGGAAAGATAGTTCCCTCTTCATCTCCTGGAGAAAAAGAGAGGTGGCAAGATGTAGGAACTTCTTGTATGAAAAGCTATGAGGTACTGGAGTCAAGCTACCATTAGCATTACCAGTAATAGAAGGAAACAACTGACATACCATCACGAAATTCCGAAAAAGGAAAGAAATTTTAATGTGGAAGCAACCAAGCAAGATAGGTGCAAACAGCCAAAACTCTCTGCCTGTTGTATATACAATGTTTCACATGTATTATTACCTGTCTCATAGGTAGAAGAGAACCAATCCCTCTCTTTGCCTTTACTGTTAACGTATAGGCTACTTAAAGAGCAACTAGGCATTGTATGATGGGAGTTCCATGTGGTTTCTCTAGGCAAAGCCACCAATGCTGGATTCAATTTAGCAGAAGCATTTAGGCTTATAGTCTCCTTATGACTATTACCATAACCAAGAAAACCAACTGGTGATGGGATGATTGCTTCTTCAAGCTCAGCTAGTTCATTGAGATCAGCCAACCTGACTGAGTTTCTCAAACCTGAATCGGATGCTGAAGCATCTTCTTTGAACTGTTTGCAGTGAGTCAGTGACTATCAAAATGTAGAATGAATTCATCTTTTGTTGATGGGAAAAGGGACAAATATGCCTTCAGAGTATTCTTAATCGAGCAGACACGTCACATATGCCTTTACTGTTCAATAGTTGGTCCAAATATGCCCTTAATTTAACTGGTGCCCCTAATTAGCTGTTTAATAAGCAAAAAAAAGCCATATATACCCTGAAAGTATGCCAAATTGAGCAGAAGTGCCCTTTGTTAATAGTTTCACATTTCTTTAATATGTACAAATTTAACATTTTTTCTCAACTCGTGTTTTTGTAATAACCAAATCCAAGCATCAATTTCTTGATAAAGACTTGTAGCTTGGTTTACTTAAGTTAGTATTATTATGTTGCGATTATGCAGGAAAGATGGAGTTTGGGTTGGACACCTCATTGCTGGATATTCATTACCAATGGAGGACCCTGGTCCATCCAAATCGCAGGCCAACTTGGAGGTGGGTGGAACCTGGAAACAAGCAATCAGAGTTGCTTTTGACACTACTAGAGCAGCTTTTCCTCAAGGAGAAGTACTAGCACATCTCGATAACAAGTAAGTTTTTTCTTCGAGTAAACAATGGACCACAAAATTTGCATGAAATATCAATCTATTGATTAAAAATAGTTATTCAGAATATGTCTACTCCTGAATAACTTTGTTGTAATTATGAGAATCGATGTATCATGAAAATTGCTCATTTTTGTCTGTGGACGCAGGAGTTTCAAAGGTTGGCAAAGAAATGCTATAGTTGGATTTCTAGCAGAGAAAAACATTAAAGTTGGGAAGCCAAGTGATTTCTGCTAAAAATATTTACATTTCTCTCTTTTATTGTAACTTGTAAGTAATAAAATAGAGCAAGTGATTTACTATCAATTCAAAGTTTGTATGGTGAAATATTTGAGTAACATAAAAGCCAGAAAATAGTTGGTTGTTTATGTCAAATCAAAGTTTCTATGGTGAACTTTAAAATAATGCATGACCTCATGACTGGATATGAGTGAATAACCTTACTTGTCCTTTTTTTTTATTTTCTATACTGAAGTTACTTACATTTACACATGTACTAGGTCCACTAGCAAGAGCACAATGCGTGAGTTAATCACTCATCGGTGATACAAATTAGAAGAAAATATTTCTAAATTTTATCTTTTGCAAAAAGTTTCTCTATCTTTAGGAGGTAGTGATAAGATTGATATATATTACCTTATTTGTGAAATTTCATTAGGTATATTGTTGTTTACTTCCTTGAGAAAGTATTTTATTAAAATAAATATTTATCTTAATATTGATAGATAAAATTATCTACTAATTAAGATGCGCAAAAATTAATTCAAACATTACGATCATTAAAAAATAAAAATTAGGATGTCTACATATTTATGTAAGGAAAAACAAGAGAGGAAAAAATAAGAAGGAAAAGAAGAAAATGGAGGATGTGTAGGGGGTTTAATGGGAAAGTGAAGTACAAGGGACACACACAACAAATGCATGAGTCTGACTGAAGTGAAGACCACGCATCTGCACATGCAAAGTGACATAATATCTCTCCCTACCCTACCCTACCCCACCCCCACCATTCCCTTATATCAATAATGTGTCACATCACATGTCATCTCCATTACATCATTTCACATCAACCCCCACTTGCTACTTACTCCCTCCGTTTCAATCTCTTGTGATATTTTGAGATTTTTAAACAAGTACTACTTGATTAAATTTAAATTGTTTCACTCTAAAAAATAAAAAGTGACACATAAATTGAGACATATAGAGTACTATTTATTAAGTTTCATTCCTAAACTATTGATAGTTTTGAAAACACTATTTTACTAAACTAATTGAATTTCAACACACCTCCGATCTTGTAAAATAAGTGAGATAGATCGTTAATTCCCGTCAAGCTTAAAGGTGTTTTCAATCAACACTTCTCTCGATTTTTTATTTAGCTCTTCATTTTCAAATTTTTAGAAATGAAATTTATATATTTATAAACTATGTAAAAAATACTAAAAGTCACAATAATTAACAATTTAAAATATCTAAAATATATATGAAAAAATTACAATCAAAATAAATTCGTTTGAATCTCGTAATTCAAAAGGGCCATATAAATAGAGACGGAGGGAGTAGATGTTTTCAAGATATTACGTATAGTAATCTTACGTCTATATTACTATGGAAGCACGTTTGTATGTGACCACACTCCACTGCTAGTTCGTATTCCTGCACAACTACAGCTCCCTATTGCACTTAGCCTGTCAGCTATGGAAAGAAAAACTGGTCACTAGAGAACAAACTGACCTACGTGGCCCACGTACCTGACCAATCACATCATCACACGTACCTCCACTTCCATAAATCATGCCACGTAAACCCATAATTAGCTGAGGACTTTCCATCCTTCTCCAATGGGCGGTCCCCGTCCCCTCTTCACCAGCCGACCACATCCCCCATTACTCTCCAAAGCTCAAATCTCTGCTATCCGTACATTTTCCTAATATCTTATCATCTTAATATCTAAAAAACTTCTACGTCGTCCTTCTTCAACTTCCTAATTATAAGATTAACAACTTCAATCATAATTTTTCTATTTTGAGCATCTTTGAAGCTATCAACTTAAACTTTGTTACTAATTCTTAAGCTCTTTAATTTGATGGTAAGCAGAAGGTAATGAATGAAGCAAAACGAATAATGCAAAGACAAATTTTCCAGAAGAATTGAAACGAACAACAAATTAACTATTACAACACTAGATAAATTGTTCTCTATATCCTGATTAACTTAACTTTCACAATTAACATACACTTGCAATAATATCTAAAAGTTAAACAAAAAAAAAAAAAAAGTAAATAGCGTGGAGTGGTTAGTTACATTTGCATGATAGAAATTACAAATTTCAAACCCTAACTCCAGCCAAATAAAAACAAGAACCGAATTTAAAAATATGAAAAATGAATATACATACCAACATAGTTAAACAGATATAAGCATATTTCTCTTGTACCTCTCCAATTTTTTTTTTTCCTTTCACTTCAATTGTTTTGTTTGATGTTTTTTGTTAGAAACGTGATAACATCAAGGGAGAAAATTAAGAGAGTTATCATTTTCACCCCACTGTGTTTGACTCCAGTAAGATTGATGATCAACGGTACCCGTTAGATCATAAAATCCATGATCTCCACCTCCACCACCATCAACTGCTCCACCAGTTTGCCAATTCAGTGAAGCGAGTTCACTACTGTTGTTTAACCTGCTCTGATGTTGTAACCCGGGATACTCATCAACCCGACCCGTTTGATTCAAAAAACCCGTACTCATCTGTTCCATCTTCATCTCACCGGATGTCGGCAATGTTCCCACCATCTTCGTCTCTGTATTCCATTGCTCATTTGAGTTTTGGTTCTCCGGCAACCGGTAAGCAGGAATATCAACCATGTTAAATGGATCATTCGATGACGTAATCATGCTTGTGAAGTTTCCGATATCCTGAAACTGATCTTCAACTGAGTTCTCCATTAATGGCTGATCATCGAAGGTTTGGTTATTACTGTGAGGTATGAAGAAATTGGACTCCGGAAAGTTGAGATAAGTTGAAGCAGAGTAGGAAGAAGTTGCCGACACATCTTCAGTAGTTGCAGCGCCGGAAGTATTCGCTGTTGCTGCCGCAGCCGCCGTTGTCGTAGCAGTAAGACTGGAACTCTCACTACTAGAATTAGTATCAGACTTATGTTCCTCCAGTGCATCGTCGGCAGCGTCGGCAGTAGTTGATTTCGGCTTTGAACGCTTGCTTTTCCGGCAACCACCACCGACGGGGACGTTACGGAGTACGCCGCCTTTAGTCCAGTACCTCCGGCAACTCTTACAGAAGTGACGTGGCTGAGAGAGATTATAGTTGTTATAGTAACAGAATTTAGTGTTGAGAGAATCGCAACGAGGACACTTCAATGCCTGGTGGTTTGGGTGATTGTTAGGCCTTAGTCTCCGATCACCACCGCCGCCGAAAAACCGCCCTCCTCCACCTCCGATCGGCTGTATATCTTGCATATCTCAAGTTCACCTAAACACCGGAAAAAATGGCTATGAAAATCTTAAATCATGATTTGTCGGCGAGATTTCACATTTGCCGACATCAGAATCTGCAACTGTGAGTCCGTTCTTCTAATATATATAAAAGAAAACACTGAACAAAATGTATGTGACAAATATCCTTTTCTATATCTTGCAATATTTTTATGATCATAATAAAAAGATGAAAAGACGAGAATATCCTTGTTATACAGTGATAATAACTGTAGAAGCCACGTGATGCGTTTAAATTTTACATTTAGGGGATGTGACAGTACGGTCCGTGGGGGGTGTGTAGAAGGAGAGACACGTATACGGTGGAGAGTGACTAGATTATACCGTCCACGAATCACAGGGTGTCGGGTTGTCGGCCAATGCGATATTTATGTAAGTAAGTGGGAAGCTTGGTGTCAGTTATAACTGATTCATAACTTGCCACGTCGTCGTTTTGGTTAATGGGTTTATTGGCGGCAACTGTTTTTACAACCCATCATTAGGCTTCATTTGTTCAATAAAACTCAATTAAAAAAAGTTAGTGTATATATAACAATAACAATATTGATGGTTTTTATGTACTCATACTTGATTATTGGAGGATTAATTCTATTTTAAATAGTTCAAAGGCAAATTTATTTTATTTTATATAATTTAAGAATTAATTTAACTGTACTTCCTTCAATTTATGAAAGTAAATAAATGTCATGCCTTTCGAATCCTCACCTGTAGATGCGCCTACGATTATGACTAGGAAGGATAAATATCATGCATATAAAACCATATACACTACAGTATTTATGTTTACGGTGTGCAGTCTACATCACAATCACATGTTTAAGGTATGTGATTCTTCTCGAATTTCTATTAACGCAAGATATTTTAGGTACTACACTATTCGATTATGATCTAACAATTTAATTAATTTATAATTTTTCGTGTATTATTATTGGTGTTGATATGGCCATCGAAGGGAGTGGAGGTCTTAGACTGCATGATATCAAATTTGATTAACGCATCCCATCATATATTTCCTATCAAAATTCACTTTCGAACTGACAGAACGTTAATTTAATTTGTTTTAATTAGACCTACTTTTTTAAAGAATAAAATAAAGTAAAACTCGAAGACTGGCCAGATTTTACTTAGATGAAAAGACAGAAATACCAGAAAATTTGCCTATTTCAAATGGAACATGCTTTTTTTCAAGTCAAAAGGGATGAATATGTATATTATAATGTTTATTTCAATTTTAAGAAAGAGTCAAAAGCAATCTCAACAACGCTCATTTTGATTAATTAATGATTAGTTCTGTATATAATTGTGCAAGTCAAAAGCACTCCGAATAAATTATTCTACTTCGGTATGATATTAGTATAATTTTGTGAATGAATAATTCTCACCTCATGACTCATAAGTTAATTCTTAAGGTTAAATTAGGCGCCTAACTAATTATTCTTTTTCATCGTGGCATCAGAGTTACATCCACTTCAACAAACAAGTTTAGGCATGCCAGAGGAGGAGGGTGGTGGACAATTCTCATATGTTACTATCAAGACAGAGTCATCTCAAATTTTGATTTACTCAACATTGACCATCATATAATATTATTTAAGTATGTTTCAAACTAGTTTATGGGTCGAGTTAGGACGAACACCTATTTTCTTACCCATAAATTTAGTTTTTCTAATGTTAATTTTTTATGGAAAGTATAATCCATGGATGTTGATTAAGTATAATGGCATTTCATTAGTACAAATAATATATTAGGCTGAGCATAGAGTTAGTCAAATATGATCATCGTACTTAAATAAGCATTGTTTTAAATATGAAAGGTCAATTTATTAGACAACTTTGTTATATATGATTGATGTTTATAAGGCCAAAATTGGTATGAAAATATCTATTTATGTGTCTGTCTTTATTACAAAGTCTTGGACGGTACCAAACCATTAATGTTGATGTAATTGAGCACTCTTCTTTGGTTGCATACAAAACAAATTAACTTCTATTTTTACCAAAAATAAGGCACCTAGTAGTGCATTATACTAGTAGTTTATATTATACTTTGGTTAAGTCCACACAAATAGTAGCATTAGCATATATATATATATATATATATATATATATATATATATATATATATATGAACCCTACTAATTAAAGTGAAATATGTAGTATCAAATAAATATTAAAATTGGCAACAAAAACAAAATTATCGACTTGTTGTCAAGCTTATCGAAGAGGAGCACATACAGTGTCAACTTCTTAGGGCTATATTATTGCTGATTAGTAATGTTTATTTGAAACATATTTAAAACCTTATTTTTAATCTTTTTCTCAATGAACCAAAAATAGAACAAGAAAAGAGTTGGTACTATTGTCGAATCTATTGTGCCTGGTTCATACCTTTTCTATACGTGAGAAAAAATAATAAATATCTAGAGTAGAGAGGAAGAAAATATCAAGAAGTTAGTCAAATTAGTTTTGGACCTAAGTAACATTTCAAAAGCCAGTTTAAAAGAAGGAGGATTGTCAATCTTTAAAAAGATACTAGGGGTATGGTTCCAATCCGACGTGGGATTCTTTCCATCAACACTTCCCCCTCACGTTTGGATTGGATCTGAATATTCTTTATCTAGGGTTTCACTATCTGTTCTAGAGCATGGGTATATAAACTCCCCCAACACACTCATTCATGCATTCTAACTCTAATAACATGTCAAATTAGGTGTTGGATTTAACTAACATTAGGAAAAGAAAGAGATTTGCCTAAACCTTATAATAAATAGTCTTCAAAAATATCTCGTCCTGATCCAATGTGAGATACTTTCTGTCAAGGGAAATGTGTTGATATGATATATGTAAGGAAAATTAGTTAATACTATACAAGTTTTGGCCTAATGTGAAACAGTAAGGACAAGTCGAAGTCACCATCGGTATGAAATTATATCAAATATGATGGTTGGAATGTCACATATTATATGTCCTTTGTATATTCCACAGTAGCTCTAGATTATACATAAAACCAAGTGGACAAAAACACAAGGCCCTAAGTTTAGGCAAAGAAAGCTAATAGTTGAAATAAAACGAATCCGGCTCACCTCCATTACCCCTTCCCTCCATTTCGTCAAGTGCACATCTAGATGAGAGACATGTGTCTTATTTAAAGTTTAAAGGTCAAGATTATATTATATTAACAAATATCATAACCATAGTTGAGTCAACTAATTTTAGAAAACTACTCTCCAAATTTGATAAGAATTACAATATATTTCATACGAAATTTAATATTTATTAATATCATTAGTTCATCTTAAATTTTTATATTTATATATAAAAATATTAAAATTCTTCTCACCATATTAGTTAATAGCTTCTGAAAATCAGTTTTTGCTATTTACGTATTTAATTTCCTCTCGAGATATATAAATTACGAAGAAGAATTTTAATTCCTCAGACACATTTGCAGTTTCTTCTTTACTCTCTCTTTTCTATTTTTTTCTCTTTTAATTTGTTGGGCAGATGCTAGCAAGAATTGGATTTTACCAATGGGTGGGTAACGATATATGACCAATGTTACCGTGCTTTACAATATATTCCATACAAAATTTGATATTTATTAATATCATTAATGTCATCTTATATTTTTATATTTAAATATAAAAATATAAGATGAAATTAATGATATCAATAAATATCAAATTTTGAATGGAATATATTGTAATTCTTACTAAATTTAGAGAGTAGTTTTATAAAATTAGTTGACTTAACTATGGTTATGATATTTGTTAATATAATATAATTTTGATCTTTAAATTTTAAATAAGACATGTCTCTTATCTAGACATGCACTTGACGGAATGGAGGGAAGGGGTAATGAAGGGGAGCCGCATCCAAATAAAACCCCACTAAAAAGAAGGGTAATTTTGGCAAAAAATTATTAATAAATTCTTGAACTTTGAAAAATTATTCATTTTATACCATAAAAAATATATAGTGTACTGTTTACTAACTATTACTGGAGGTAAATTCACTCAAATAAAGGACATAGCTTAAACACACATTATATATATATAGTGTTCTATCTATGACTATATTTCTAGACAATCTTCTAAGATGGTGGAAGCTACATATTGCATTTATAGTCGAGAGGACGTACATGTTACCCCCCATTTAATAGGTGCAATACATCAAGTCAAATGTGAAATTATGGAAATTTTTGAAAATTAATTAGAAATAGGTAGATGTCAATTGCTGAATTGATTCAAACTAATAATGTGTGTCCAGCATAATTGTATAATATATGTCAGAATTAAAATTTTCACTAAGAAATTAAATATATAAAGAAGTAAACATACAAAAAAATTAAAGAATTCACATCTATGGTATATATACATCTATAAATATATTTTCTTAACAAAAGAGATTTGAATAATCCCTTAGCTTAAATCCTCATCAGACTTTATTAGATCACGAGTTGGGACAACTAAACGATAGCCTAACTAAAATGATCAATGATCTTTGATCATATACATATATAACCTTTGTTTAGCACGAAAACTCAGGTTCACCACATAGGGTCGATAATGTTAGAAGTGTTTTCTATCGGAAATTTTCAGTTCATAAAGATGTAATAATCTCTTTCTTTCTTGGTTAATGAGAGAGTAATATGGTTTTCAATTTCAACAAATTTGTCAAACGATGACAAAAGAAGTACAAAGCATTCTTGATGGGCTAGTTAACAATATTAATTGTGCCAAATAATAACATATGTATTCTCGAACTGTCAGTTGTACAATATTATTACAGTACCCATAATATTTTTTATCTAGCTGAAAGCTAAATACACCACTACGTATGTGACACGTGTAATTTAAGATTAGGTGAAAGTAAATGTTCCATATATATATTTATTAAATGCTGAAGATATTTATCCTTTTTATTTTTTTCTTTGTACCTTCCAAAGCATTAATTTTGAGGAAGTTGTGCACCATAAGTAACATGACTATATAATGTGAAATTTGCCAAAAGTCCAAAATTGCAACTTTTAAGTAGATTATTGCTCTAGTAG